TTTTTGTTTTAGACAATAGAGTGATATAAAGGGGCATATCGGAACCTCTGAAGCAGAATGCAGGTTTTTTGTTGAGATAAATAAAAGTAATAAAGGTAGGTGAGAAATTTTTTAAAATCTGATTTTTAAAAGATAAGTTAGAGTTCCATTTTCCCACAATCTCTCCAACTTTTTGCTTGTTGATAATAGTCGTTCTAACATGTATCTCATTGTAGTTGTGATTTGCATTTCCCTAATAGTTAGTGAAGTTGAACATCTTTTCATATGTCTATTGGCTTTTTGCATTTCATCTTGGGATAAGTGTCTGTTCAGGTCCTCCACCCATTTTTTAGTTTGGATTGTTTGTCAGACAGAAAAAGTGAAGAACCATATGATTTCACTCATATGTGGGATATAAAACTGAAAGCAACCAATGAACAAACCAGAAAAACAGCCCCAAACTCATAGACTTAGACAACAGTATGGTGGTTACCAGAGGGAAGTAAGGGGGTAATAAAGGGTAAAAGGGGTCACATATATGATGAAGGAAGATGATCTGACTTTGGGTGAAGGGCACACAATGCAATGTACAGATCATGTAGCATATAAATGTGCACTTGAAACCTAAATAATCTTATTAACCAATGTCACCCCAATGAAATTAATTTAAAAAATTGAACTCATACAAAAATAAAAATAAGGTGACATTATGAATGGTAGAATCCTAGAATTCCAATTTATGACAACAGTGATTGTACTGTGCTCCCAACTCACGTGTAATATATGTGCATTCAATTTTACAGGCTTGTTAAAAATATAAAACAGGATGGGGAGGTGGGGAGAAAAATAATAATTTAAATCTCAGGTGGCTCCACCCATGATTGCACTCTGTGAGCATAATGCCTCTGAGTCAGTGTGACACTGGAGGTGTGATTGCGCTGTTCCCACTGTGCATCTCATAAGTGAGCACCTCCTACCATGGAGATGAGCTGTGCCTTTAAAGATCTTCATTTTCTATATAACATGGCTTCTTAATGCAAGCCAACCATATCACCCAGTGCCAACCCAACGTAATGCTGTTCTCCAATGAAAACCAGCTTGGGTTGAACTTAGATGACCTGGTGTCCTTCTAAGAGATTTTGCAGGAAGATTTTGACCATCTCTGATCTTCACCTACTGCTAGAACCGGCAGCTGCATGCAATTGTCACGTACTGGCTGAAGTTATCCAGAATAGGCTTGTCCTGGCGTTAGGGGTCTTGTCTCCTCTGGTCTGTACTTTTTATGACTTTTTCAAGAATGGTGTCTAGCAGTGTTCAACGCTGGTCCCCGTGGTCAAACAAGGGAGCAGAAAATAATACATTCTCCTCTTCTTTCTGCCTTGTATGATTTTCTGGAACGTCTTTGCACATTGCCATGTCTTAGTCTTGAAAATCAAGCTATTACTTCTGAGGTAGTATCTATAATGTAGAAGAAAAGGATAATGAAAGGGCAACTTTATTTTATTTCTTAAATCTTTATTGTTGAAAGTATTACATACATCCCCTTTTCTCTCTCATTGGTCCCTTATGCCCGCCCCTGGTCCCCACCCCAGGCCTCCAGCATGAAAGGGAAACTTTAGATTTAATATTTATGCTAAAAGTTATTGAAAACTTACTTATGTTAAGTTCTTTATTATTATCTCATTTGATCCTCACAAATCTTTGAAGTTTAGAGGTTATGGTCTTATTTTGAATGAAACAACTGAGGGTCAGAAAGTACGAGTGACTTCATTGGGGCCACTAAGCAAGTAAGTGACACCCGTGAGTCCAGATGTGTATGGCTCCAAGAAGGCATGATCTTTCTCTTTGGCTTGTGGCTCCTTAAAAATATAAGTTATGACACAGTTCTTGCCCTCCAGGAATGTGAGGCCCCATTGAAGGATAAGAAGACTTACAAATACTATAATTCAAATCAAAATATAAATACCCCTCTAAGGAGATTTCATTTTATCAAGGTTGAAAGGTAGGTGACCTGTTCTCTGATGAGGAGAATTGAGGAAAGTCTCCTTTCGATGCTGAAACTTCAAGGCAGCAGCATCTGTCCTGGATGATTGTAACCGTATGGAGGCCATTTTCTAAGTAAAGGATTTTCGAATTGAAGGAGGCACAGTAAGGCTGATGAAATCATTCGCACTTGCATTGTAATGGTTGTATGCTCTCTGGTGAGAAGTGGCCTTGGGGATATATCACTGAATTCTGCCAACTGCAATTGCAATCAGTCAGAGAAAGCAAAGCAATTAACTGATTGAATATGAATGAGATGTAAATAACATCTTGAAATAATTTAAATATTGGCACAATGGAAAAAAATAGTCTATTACTATAGAAAATGAGGATAAATGACCTACAGTCGGGAAGTTTTGGGGTGAGCAAGAAAAATAAGAAGGGCTGTATGAACACAATGTTTTTACATGTTAACTGAACTGTATATGACTGGTTAGTGGAAATCATTTCATTCATTAAAATATATTGATTAAAAAAAGAAAAAAAACTATAGAACCAAAAAAAAGATATTGATAAGTAATAAAGAAAATGAGATTAGAAAAATTTTTGTCAGGCTTCTCACATGAATTGGTTGGGTAGTTTTAGAGTTTTTATTGTCAGAATAATTTTCACATCAATAATCAATTGATCTGCAATTGATCCCTCTGGGCTTTGGGGAAAATTATATTAATATGGCTCTATCTACCTAGACTCTCAACTAATAGAAATGTGTTTTACGGAGTTCTTTCATATCTCTCTTTGTCTGCATTGTCCTGAAGTTCTTACCTATTACTGATGGTCAAGCTAGGAGCAGCCTGCTCCAGTAGTTTGCCGACCTGGGATTTATCCTAGTGAGATGGCTCTAAAACTTCATCTTGCATGAGAATGAAAGACAATAGTATCTCCTGGTTCAGCACTTTCATTTCAGTTTGGTGATATACTGGTTGGTGGACATTCCCTTCCTTTGGTCTGTGGATATTTCTGAGGCAGCCCAAGGGTGCATGGACCTATGTACACCCCAAGCATTGCCTGGAGCCCTAGAGAAAAATGGTTTTTTGCCACCCATAAGTACTGTTCTGTTTTCAAATAGAGATTGTAATGAATAAAATATAAACACACTTAAACACTTTACAAGAGTTCATGTAGCTTTTTGTCAATGTACATGTTTACAATAAAGAGGATATAAAAATACTACAGCTGTTATGTAAAGATTCTACACCCACAAGTTAAGACTAATAAGTGTAAATCATTCATTTATTCAGCACATGCCTACAATGTTTCTGGCACTGTTCTGAGCCCTAAAACTGAGAATGAATGGAAACACCCATCCACAAGATTTTATCTCTTTTCTTATTAAAGATATATATGGACTAAAACTCTTACCTAATGTAAGGGTTGAGAGTACTTTATCCTTACAGTTGCACCTAGTTGATGAATAAGAATACACAGTTATTCAAATAAAAAGGCACAAAATAGCAATGTACTAATGTTTATTTTCACTTAGTTATAATGCTTACATTTACAACTAGAAGTAGTTGTATTTTGTCCTAGTTACGTTATATAAAAACACAGTAGTGATTTATGTAATTCTGATTCTGATTTGAATTTGAAATTAAGTGGCTTTTCTCCTTTTTCCACTTCTTTCTGTGCCCCTCACCCAACACCTCCCAACAGATAGGATTAGCTGTCACAGAGCAAGTGATGCATCTATTTCCTTACACAGCATTGCACGATAGTGCCAACCATTTGGGAAATAATTTTCATGAAGAGATGAATGTTAATTAAGACACATATTGTCATGTTCCGAACCTGCAGGATCGAACAGATCCTCATATTGTTTGGGTGTCAGATGACCTCACAAAACAAAACACAATACTTCTTGCTATCATTGCTACCTAAAGAAATGCTTAAAAGAGACTCCTCTCTGAAACTTGGGGTACATTTTCCCACCACAGGTCTTGGTTGTCATGTCTGAGCTTATTTGGGGCACGTGCATCCATGTGCTTCTAGGGAGTTGTGGAAGTAAGTTTGAGCAGTGTCACGCTTTATGGGGAGACGGTAATGAGCTCCCACTGAATGCTAATTAGGGGAGAGTTGTTCAGGGAGACCGCCTGAGCACTGTTGGTTTGTGGTAAATTAGTCACTAGCGCTATTGAGGCCCACTGCAGGTTTAGATCAGAGCTATGATGGCGCCCAGATCCTTATGATCCACAGCCAAGCTTGGTGACAGTTTAAGAAAACAGCTCAATTGTGCTAAATAGTAGTAGATGACTTTGCTTGAATTTAATGAGAGGAGTATAATTCTGTATAAAATGTAAAGCTCTCAACCACTTCAGGATTAAAAAGGTGGGGAGACTGGATGTTAAATGAATTAACAGAGCTGTTTTGGCTCTTAGAACTGAGAAGCTGCCAAATCAGTCAGTGAAAAGACAGATTGCTCTGGAAAAATCCTTGCCCTGAGTGTGGTGGCCTTCATTTGCGTGTGCAAGGCGCTTTCTGGCTGTCCACACGCATAAATCTCAGCCTTTATCTAACGCGGCACAGGGTGGCTTTTCTGAGAAATGATACTCCAGCTCCAGATCGAAACAATTGCCTGGGTTTGGAAGCTTTTCTTGAATCACAAGCAGTTCTTTCAATTCCCAGTTACCTTTCGTCTTCATTTCCATTTCCAGCCACCAGAAGAGGGGAGTTAATGATTCATTGGCTCCCAATGACCTTTTGAATAACTGGACTGTGATGTGCCAGTGCGACTCGGCTCCCTCTCTCTCCCCCTTTTACTTCCCTAGTTTGGCTTTAATATTTACAGCCTCCTTCTCGGTCTACATGCCTGAACGCCTGAAGGAAGCAGAACATTTATTGCCTCTCCCTCCCCGTGTTCGCCAGCTTTTCACTCAGCCCCGTTCCTTCCTTTTACATCACATGGGAGACTCGCCTCTTGGCTGGGACGCCCGGGTTCTTCCTGAGTCTCTGCTGTTGGATCTGTCGGTCTCACCGACACAGAACGATGGATTCTGATTCAGACTCACCTTTTAACTACTCGTGGCCTGCCTTCCCCAAAATGAAGATCCGACGGAGGGCGTCCAGACAAGGTAGATCACGGGCTCTTTTATTTTCCCCGGAGCCAAGCCAGGCATCTTCATATTCTTAACTTCTTTTCTTCTTTGTTCCTTTGCCAGGCTGTTTTCTGACGAAGTGCGCGTTTATACCTGTCTTTATAAAACACTCACTGTGTAAATACTTTACATAGAGACTCCCACGATAACCCTACGCCTTCCCGTGTTCCTTTCCCTTTGAGTCTACCTTTCTACCCTGTGCATGTGTAACTCACAACTTAAAAAGAAAAGTGAAGGGAGTTTAGTACAAGGTGTGTGTTTTGAGTTCACTTAATCAGAGTTACCTCGACAATAAAGAGTCCTGTTGATTGAAACGTGCCCGGCTATTGTGGGGTATGAAGAGAGCGACACATGCCCTCGATACCTAGTTTCTGCTTCGTGTGTGTTTTGGGTTTTCAAGTGTGTATTAAATTTTTTAAAAATATTTTGTACTTTAAAAATTGTTCTTTCTTTTTTATACTATTTTACTGATTTTTATAGATGCCTTAAGGAAGGGGCTTTGTGAAGGTAATTTCAACAAGAAAGCCTGCATATCTCCAGGGGATATAGTCATATAGTAAAAAGTTTAACAATCATTAGCAAGTATGCAAAATCATTTACTGCCAAAGGAAGAAGAGCCATTTATCTGCAGCGTGATTAACAATGGAGTGAGTTTACACCACCCATTTTCCCTCACCTGCACCCCACTCTTGTGGTGGAGGCTTTAGAAACCAAGGGGCAAGTTAGTGTTTGGCAGCAAAGGTGCCCCAGAAAATCTGCTGATGGTCCTGGTGGGGCTCAGCAGGTGGCGATTGCTGCTTTCCGAGATTTGCCAGAACAAGAAAGACAGTCAGTTTCCCCTTCCCATCTCCTGTCTGGTGCAGGGGCTTATGCGGTTGTTTTTAATTTAAGGAGAAAGGAACATTTTCATGCGCTTACAAGCAGAGGAGGTGCTTCTGAAAGTGTGACTTCTTTATTCTCTGGAGCAGAATGTCCTACTGCACCACCCCGTACTGTTCCCCGAGAAAAATGGAGGCTGGCAGTTATCAACACACCTGGTTCTCTTCAAGGATCTTGTTTCCTTCTTCTGAAACAGAGGGGTGTGTGTGTTTGTTTGCTCTTTGGCTGGGATCAAGGCCAGCCGCAGGAATAAGATGGCGTGAACATCTGGGGGAGGAGGGTAGAGAGCCTCAGCCTGAAAAATCTCCCGTGCTGCCCAGCTGCCATCCTTGAAACTCTGTCATGAGGAACTTAAAGAACTTCTACAGTGTTCTATTTTCCGGTTACTCTGTTTTTAAAATTTAATGTCTTCTTTGTAGGGGTAAAGGACTATGAGGTATACACCTTGCCATTAAATGGTTCGGGGGGGGGGGGAAGAAATATACCTATGAGAGAGCACGAATGTGTGCATGTAAAAGCATGTTTGAATACAAGTAGAAAATAGAGTGAAATGTTAACAATAGGTGACTCTGGGAAAAGGTGATATATTGGTGTTCTCTTCAAATTCTTTCAGCCTTTCTGCAAGCTTAGAATTATTTCTAAATTAGGAAACCTTAAAAAACATTTAAAGCACTTCTGAGAAAGAAGCTATATGAGGTCACTAATAGTTTAGAGTGAATACTATTAGTTTGGGTTCATTGAGAACAACTCGAGGGCAGGTACCAGTTCTGTAAGACTGCTATCTCTTTTTGCAGCCCAGTTAAGTTTGGGGGAATAACCTGCTTAACATATTTTTGTATTTCTACTGCCTGGCTGGCTGACTGGATGCCTATGGTTTTGGGGGCCTCGGTAGCCTAACAACCCGGGTTAATAATTAGGCGGCCAGTGGAGAACCTGGAGAGTCCAGTGGAGGTGGAGGGAATGCATTAATCACGCTCTCCTTTGAAATCCAAAGTTGGAGCCCAGCCACTTTGAGCTACAACAGAAAGTCATAACATAGCTATGTGTAAATTAAACTCAATTCAAGTGAAAGCAGGTACCCAGAATGTGAGAAAGATTAACTGTTTGCTGCTAATAAACAAAAGACAAGTGCAAATAGGTTGGTAGCAGAGAGTTGAGGATCACCAGACAGTGTTCTATGCTTCCTGTCTTCATTCAGTGGTCACGACCTAGTTGTGAAGATGAGTTTGGTCATCCCATAATGTTGGCTGGACAGGGTCCCAGAACCGTAGGTCACAGAGATGACCTGGTCCAGCCACCACAATTTACAGACAAGGGTGATAGGGCCCAATTAAGTGAAGTGATGGGGAAATGTTCACATGTTCCACAGGCATCTCCAGAGTGCCGGGTACTGGCATAGAGGGCGGGGCAATGTGGGAACCAGACAGACACCGTCCTTGTTATGCAGGGGTCTTAGCTTTGGGAAGGGTTCCTCATCTCCCAGGACCCAGACATGCCACCTCCCTATGGCAGAAGAAACACCACGAAAGCTGATTTTTCCTCCAGTGCAATGATTGGTTTGTGAAGAGCTATCATCTCTTGTCTCTTAGAGGATGATCCACTTAATTTTAGCTTTTAAAACTAAGGTGAGTTGAGTTCTGTCTCATTCTTTCTTTCCTTTTAATCATCACCATCATTCTCAGAATGTAGGATCCAGTCACCTGGGAAATCACGAAGGAGGTTTTGTGGGCTTGAAATGTCTACCTTACTAACAAATCTCTCTCATATTCAGTAAGAAATAGTCTCTTTCATTTTATATTATGCTTTTAATTCCTGATCCTCCTTGTTATATTTCTTTTAATACCCTTTCTGTTCTTATTATCACTGTTCTTTGATAGACACATATATACATACACAAACCTGGCTTATTTAGAGAAATGTGAAAATGTAGAGGGTTTGGTAATAAAAGGAAAACTAGATTAATATAGTTGATACTTATATATCAACTGAAAAGCATTTAGTACTTACTTATTCTTATGCCTTCAGGAGGAAAAAGGGATATACCTCAGAAGCAGTGCTTTTGGTCACGACCAGCGAAGTAAGCGGAGGATGAAAGCAGTTAAACCGAGCTGCCTCCAATACAGCCCGGGGGTCCTCACAAGTTGCTCTTTGTCGTTTCATGGGCAGCCCTGGAACAGGCTGTGCTGGGAGTCTAGTGGTTAATGACTGGGGTGGGCCAGAATCCACGACGGTTCTGCTTCAACAGTAGGAGATTCAACCAAGAAATGTAATGTGTATTAAGTGAATATTTAAAAATATCAGGATTAGACCTCACCCAAGGTTTCCATAATTATCATTCAATTTTTAAAATGCATTCTTTAATATAAATCATCAGAACCCGGGGGATGTTGAACTTTGTGACTTTCATCTCCTTGTGTAGCTTCTCTCATTGTCTCCTACTCCAGCTCATATCATATGCCTCTTAATGACACACAGTGTGAAAAAGAATGTGTGTGTGTGTTTTTAAAGTTTTGTTGGTGCAGCACCAGAGTAGGGTTGCCAAAGGAAGGGTTGCCTATAGAAAGCTTAACCACCTTGAAGAGCTTATACAGTGCCAATTTTTTTGTAGTCACAGCAAAATAACAATAGTTATGTGATACTTTGTTCATCATAATAAGCACTGTTTACTAAGCTGTGGCAGTTACTTTACGTACATGATATATGATTCTCAAAATAACTCTCTAAGATCGATATTATCTCTGCTTTACCGGTGAGGAAACTGAGGCTTAGAGGGTTTTAAAGTTATACCTAAAGCCATACCAGGAAGTGCAATGAATGGTAATCATGGTAGACTATGGAAGAAAATGAATGAATGAGTGACATATGTATAAGGACTTATTCACATGTTATCTTGTAAAAGCCCCGTATGTTAGATGTGGGTGTCATCTTCATTTCTTATTGGGGGGCTCTGAGGCTCAGAGTGGAGGAATGAGTTGTCCAAGATCAGAGCTAATAAATGGTAGAGCCAGGCCTACAACCAGAACTTTGAATTCAGAAGTTTTATTCTTCCTTTATGTTTCACCACTTCTTAGTAGAGGGAAGGAGGGGAGGGGTAGACTTCAGTGGGTAGCTACCTCCTTATATTCAAAAGGTGCCACTGTGTCTCACCATCTTAGTTTTCCCTCTCTTGTGAATCTTTGTCTGGGATTAGAGTTGGCAGTGGAAACTATGGGGGAGGAAAATGGGAGTGCCGTTTCTACATCTCGATATACCCAAGCACATGCGTATCAAGTACTGACTCAGTCATTGGTTGGGGTGGGAAAAGATGGACAGCACTGAATAGCTGGCTGAGGACAAGCTGAGGAAAGGATGGGGTGGGAGTGCTCCCAGTGTGTCCTGGAAAGTTCACAGCTTTGTCCCAGACAAAGAGCGAGTTAGAGGATTAATGTGCTGGGAAAGGAGATGGACATCATGGGGTCACTGTTTCATGAGTTCATTGAGTGTTTGGAGGGCAAGTACATAGTCCGAAAAATAATCCCTGATATGGTGGGTATTAAAGGTATGATGACATTTCAAAAGGTTTAATGATAATTTTTAAAGGTGAGTTACTTTTATCTCATGAATTTATTTGTTTTCTTCCTCTCTCCTGCCCTCTCTTCTTTCCTTTCATGAAGTTTCATTGAATACACTCATGTGCTTCCATGTGCTTATGTGTATTCAATTCAGAAATTCCCCAAAGGATACCTGAGTACCATAGGAGGAATAAGTCGCTACAGAAATCCTTATTAAGGAAGAGAAACATTTTCATAAAGGTGACATAACCTGCTAAGATTGCATTGGCTCACAATGAAGATAGTGTCCAACCTCACATAGAGAGGTTTTAATTTCACTCTCTGCCCGGCGGCCTACCTTTGTCGGCAGAGGGAAGGAGGCCCATTATAAGCCCGTTGCCAAACCACATAGCTATGTATTCCTCAGGCTCACTTTAGTTAAACAAATACTTTGCCAAATATTTGAAACTATTTTTTTTTCTTTTCTTTATTTCGGGCTAGTTCAAATTCTTAGGCAAGGTATATTTCTACATCAATCCCTGTAAGTGGAAGAAAGGGAGGCACTATTCCTATTTAATACCTCATGTTTGGGAGATTCCTCCCTACCACTCTGGATTCAGGGAAGGATCAATGGTTGTGTGTTCAGATATATTTTGGCAGGAAGTCCCAGAGGTCAGGACAAATTACTGTTGAAGTTCAGGGTGAAGAGACCAGTTCAACCTAAGGGCATCATCGAAGGGATGTCATTTCAATAGCTTGTGGTGACTAGGGAGGTGGTCCCTGCAAGCAGAAGGGGAGACTATGCATAGAGTATATCAAAGCCGTGGAAAATAGCCTAGGTTTGTGTACTGTGGATTCAGGTGGTACAGAAATGTAGAATGGTGTCAAATGTTGCATTCGTCTGGATGGTTAGTTTTGTCTGCCTAGCATCCTCCTTCCCTTCATTGCACAGCACTCACATTCTTAAGTGAGTGGTCTTCCCACTGCTCTGGCCATGGGTCCACATGCTGCTGTCACTTTCTCATGTGACTTTGCCTTCTGGAGGCAGTGGGCTTAGCATTCCACCCTGGTGAGCCAATCACAGCACCCGTGCCGCCTGGCCACAGCTATTGGTCTAGGGTAAGCACATGACTCAAACTTGGCCAATCAGAGTCCTTCCTTGGGATTCTTCCAACTGGAGTTTGGAGGGAGATACCTTCCTTCTTGGGTGGCAGTGCTGGAGGAGGGGGAGGTTGGAGTTGAAGCCATTAGCTGGGAGAAACCAATGTATAGTAGGAGGAAGTACTGCAATCATGGAAAGAGAAGACACCATGAGATAGGATCCTGCTAGATGCCAGGCCCTTGTTCTAGTCTCTGGGGCTCTCTTGCTGCCCAGGTGCCTCCCTCTCAAGGTTTGGATGTTAAGTTCCTTTTGTGGGCTGCCCTAATTTTCCCTCCCCATTTCACTTTTGTTTTAGCAAGTTCAGGTGAATATTTCTTCCAGCTAGAAATCTCCAATTCGTCCTTTAAGACGTGGTTTGAAAGTCCATGGTCTGGAAGTCTTCCCTGAATTCCCTCAGAGTTCATTATTGTATCCTTGGTGCCATGCTGGCTTGTGTATAATTTTGTAATAGCCTCCTCATTACTGTATTGCAAATATTATTTAATGTCTCTCACTCGAAAACACTGAACTACTTGAAGATGGAGACTGGCTGGCCCGTTTTCACACCTCCAGTGCCTGGATCGTAGGAAGCAGGCAGTACATATCGAAAGTGTATTGTGATACAGATTTACTCACACTACACTCAGATATTGCTTATTTTGTCTTTATTTTGTCTATAATGGATCTAATTTTCCTTATGAAATCCTACCCTTTAGGCAGCAGGAAGGGAAAAAGGGTTTACTTTAGTTTAAGAAAATTTGGTCCTATGCAGTAATGAAAATAGTCCTTTTCTGTAACTGCTCAGTCTCTTTAAGTAAAATGTTCAGCCTCTCAGATTTCTTTTTCCTCCTCCACTTCCTTGCCACTCTGGTATTGAATGTGACTTCCTGGAAGGGGGGGCAGTTGGTGGGGAAAGGAGGCAGCACGTCTTCGGATGCTCTCTGGGTCCTCCTGGTCTCTGCTGCAGATCTGCTGGCCGGTGCTGTTCCCTCAGCCACGATTGCTGTATTACTGGGTCTTCCGGCGCCTGTGACCAAGGTCCTGCAGCTGTATCCTCTCCTTGGTGTTGGTCAGAACCCGATGGTTTTTCTTCACTACAGAAATCTTAGAATCACTGCCCCTGGCCATTGGCTCAGGTGCTTCCCTATAAACATCTTTTCAAGGATCCTTCCTTGGCACCAGTGGGCCTTGTGTAGGCGGCAAGTACCTGACTCAGCCACTTCTTGCTCCTCTCAGAGGCCTGAGGGGTCTTGGGGACCCATTCTCACCACTTAAGCAGCTAGGAGCAGCCCAGGAAAGCTGGCCCTGGCCGACCTTGCTGCCTGACCTTGCTCTGCTACTAAGTGTGCTTGGCAGTGGTTGTCTCCTAGTGTGGGGCAGCCTGCAAGGCGTTCTCCTTTGGAGGAGCCCCAAATGGAAGTGAGAAAAGCCCACCCACCCTGAGAGTAGCCCCTGGCCTATCTCTTACTGTTCCCCATAGGCAGGGGAACCGCCTGTCTTATTCCTTTGATCTCATTATCCCTACTAGTGGAAAAGTCTGATTATGAGTTGTAATGAGCCTCTTATCCAGCTCTCATTCATACTAACCTACTTTGAGGTGCCCAGAGTTGCTCAGGAGAATGGAACAAGATTTAGGGACCAAGTAGTTTCCAACCAGGAGAAACCCAGAACAATTTGGAGGAATGCCTGCATTCCTTGGCTTTCATTATTCAAATGAAATAATGAAATCATTCATGCATTCATTCATTCAAAATGTTATTATTGAGGACACAAAAAATAAGTGACAGTTATTTGAAAGTGGCTAAGAGAATAGATCTTAAAAGTTCTCAACACAGGAAAAAAATGTAACTATGTATAGTGACGGATGTTAGCTAGACTTCTTGTGATAATTTTGCAATATACACAAATATTAAATCATTATGTTGTATACCTGAAACTAATACGCTCTGTCATTTATAACTTAATTAAAAAGAAAACAAGTGAGATAACTTACATTTCAATGGAGAGTTCTTTATTGTGCTAGCATGATTTCTTATCTGTAGTAGAACTCAGTTCTGTTTAGGATATTAAGGGGAATTAAAAACACACACATTTCTAGAGATAGGTGCTGGAGAATTGGAGGGCTTCTGACTTTTCAAGTGGACAAGATCATGTGTATGTGCCTAAGTCTTTCCATAAGATTATGCAAAATTTGAATTATTTGTAGGATTTCCTGTAATGAGGACATGCAGTTTGTTTGGTTTTGTCTAATGTCACCTGAAGTGGTCTTGTCAGAGTCCTGCCACTTTATTTGGGGCCTTTTACTTCTGTCCTGGTGTTTGTACTATGGGTTAGTTTTCTTACCCTCCATTTGCTCATTTTCCCTTTCTGTAGATTACTTTGCGTTTGGCCTTAGAGAACTGCATCCAGAAGGAAAGGAATTGCTGATTAAACGTAATCACGCCAGTCTACACACCACACATGACTGAACATCTTGATAGTTTGGGGGGAAGCAAGGGCAGGCAAAGGTTGCTATTTGCTTATTTAAGATCCTTCTCTTCCAAACATAAACGTATGTCCTCTTGAAGGCTGCTTTGTGCTACTATAATTAGGAAGGAGAATGTGGAAGGATTTGGGAGAAAACCATCGTTCTTTGAGGACTGTATTTTCTTCCTCCCTTCCTTTCTTCCCACTGCCCATCTCTTTTTCTTCTCCATGCATTATAAGGGAGAGGCTTGTTTCCTTTTTCAATAATTTTGATGATTAGGTCTTTGGAAACAGCAGAATAGGACTTCCTTTAGGATTGGATTTTAGAGTACCAAGTTGTAACTTGCTATGGAGAATGGGGTTAAACTGCTGTTCCCAGTGAGAGGGCTGGAGGAAGCTCTCATCCCAGCACCTGGGGTCCCTTCACTCTGTCCTTGGCTGTGACAGTTGTTACCAGGAGACTAGCCGGACCTCATCCCAGGGTGCACTCTTCCTCTTACAGGATCCCAGGAGGGTAAGGTAAGGTCTGAGGCTGAATTGCACATTGGATTGATGTCAGAGACTATCTAGCTTGGTAGACAAAGGCTCTCTGGGTTCTCCCAGATTCATCGCGTGGCGGACTAACATCCTCAGAGTAACTTTAGCTCATACGTGACCCACAGGAAATTCCTGGGCTAGCATGGTTTTGGAATTTGGAAGGATCCTCTCTGTAACCTCAACTCTAACTCAGAGTAGGGAGGCCTAGAGATTTTCCAGGCTACGACTAATATCAGGAAAATCCTAAGAGAGCCCTCCAGAAGAATAGGCAGGGATAAATGGCAGTTTATCCCTGAAAATGTTTCCTCTCACCTGTGAGGGTGGGTTTTTTCTTTCTTCTGGGGCACACTCAGACCATTGGTAAAGAGGACACTCTGTGAACTGCAGAATATGGCAGTTCCCTTTGACTTGGGGGATTTGGAGAGGGTGTGCTGTTGCGAGAGAGGGTGTCTGTCAGTGCTGTTTGCTTTCTGGTTCTATCACCTAATGGCCTGGGCAGGTTAATCACTCTGCTTGTGCCTCAGCTTTCCTGTCTACAAAATGAACGTGGTAACACACAATGTGGTTATGAGGAGCAGGGCTGGCAAATGGGTAAAAATAATACTATGTACTCTTGGGTAAAACATTTCCAGCGAATACATTTACATATATCTTATCTGATACGGTGGATTTACCGATAACCTATTTTGCATGAAATGCTGCAGCTGTTCTTTTACATAGGAGACACATTTTAAACACATGACTTGTTTTTTCCCTCTTATTTTAGATGTAAAAATGGTTATTGTTGGGAATTAGAAGTTACAGAGAGTGAAGAGTTGAAAGTAAAAACCACCTGTGATCCATCATCTGGAGATAGCAGTTAACATCTTGGTTTAACTTTCCAGTCCTTTCTCTTGATTTTTTGTATATTGTGTGGTTAAATAAAATGAAATCACACACTTACCATTCTGTGAATGTTTTCTCAGCAAGATTTGCACCGTCATATTCCGGCAGGAAATCTCTGGCGGCCCAGGAAGTGAACAAACACACTTAGGCACAAGTCAAACTATAACACGTTAATGAAACTTCCCAATGGGAAAATACCAGACATTGCTCACATACCATTTTCTTTGGCTCAAAATAGGATACTGAGTAACGCCAATTATTAAATAAAATACTTTGAACTACCTAGCAGAGTGCGTACCTAGAGCTGCCAGTTACTAGTTGTGTGACCTTGGGAAGTTACTTAAATAGCACCACAGTTCCGCAAAACAGAAATAGTAAATAGTATAGCTACACAGGGTTGTTTTGGAGATGAAATGAGTTAGTGTATGTAAATCAGGCAGTATCTGGTTCATAGTGAGTGCTGGATTCATCTGAGCT